GTACTGGCATTAAAGACAGACATATAGATCAATGAATCAGCATAGAGTGCCAGAAATAAACCTTCATGTATACAGCCAGGTAAGGGTGCTAAGACCACTCAGTAGGGACAGGGAAAGGACGTCCCTAACAAATGGTGTTGGAAAAACTGGATATCGTGCACAAGGATAAAGTTGAACACTTATCTTGCATCATATACAAAAATTAACTCAAAACATACCAAAGACCTAAATGTAAGAGGTAAAATTATAAAACGCTTAGAAAAAAACATAGGGAAAAAGATTCACGACATTGGATTTGGCAATGATTTCTTGACTATGACACCAAAAGCAGAGGCAACAAAAGCTAATACAGACAAATGGGACTACATCAAACTTAAAACTTCATCAAAGGATATAATCAACAAAGCAGAGAGGCAATACATGGAATGGGAGAAAATATTTGCAAATTATACCTTACAAGTAGTTAATATCTAGAATATATAAAGAACTCCTATATCTTAGTAACAACAAAAAAAGTAACCCAACTAAAAAGTGGACAAAAAACATGAACAGTCATTTCTCTAAAGATATACAAATGGTCAATAAGCATACAAAAAGATGCTCAACATCACTAATCACTAGGGAAATGCAAACCAATACCATAATGATTTATCACCTCACACCCATTAGGATGACCACTATCAAAAAAAAAAAAACAGAAAATAACAAATGTTGGTAAGGATGTGGAGAAATTGGAACCCTTGTGCACTGTTAATGTGAACATAAAATGGTGCAGCCATTATGTAAAACAGTATGATGGTACCTCAAAAAATTAAAAACAGAACTACCATATGATCCAGGAATAACACTTCTGAGCATTTAACCAAAAGAATTGAAAGCAGGGTCTCAAAGAGACACCCAGGTTCATAGCAGCACTATTCACAATAGCCAAGAGGTGAGAGCAACTCCCATGTCCACCTACAGATGAATGGATAAAGAAGATGTGGTCTACACATAGAACCTACAATAGGTAGATCTACAACAGAACATTATTCAGCCTTAAAAGGAAATCTTATCACATGTTACAACATGGATGAAACGAGAACATTATGCTAAGTGAAATAAACCACTCATAAAAAGACAAATACTGTATGATTCCACTTACATGAGGTATCTAAAGTATTTAAATTCATAGAAACAGAAAGTAGAATGGTGGTTACCAGGAGTGAGTGGAGGGGAAAATGGGAAGTTGATGTTTACTGGGTATAGTCTCAGTTTTGTTAGATAAAAATGTCCTGGTGATTAGTTGCACAACAATGTGAATATACTTAACACTACTGAAATGTACACTTAAAAGTGGTTAAGATGGTAAATTTTATTTCATGTGTTTTTTACAATTAAAAATAACAAAATGTAAAGCAAGCATTATCAGAGAAAATGAGGGAAAAAAGGTGGGACTCATCAGAAAGATATAATAATTTTAAACTTTATACATCTAACAATATAACTTCAAAATACAGTAAAAAAGTATTAGAATTATAGAAATTGACAAATCTATCGTAACAGTAAGAGATTTCAACACACCTCTTCCAGTAACTGATGGTCAAGCAGACAAAATTACTGAGACTTGAACAACAGAACTGACATGTTTGACCTATCCTACGTAAACGGCGACAGGGAATGACATTAGCAAGGTGGTGGAATAGGAATGCCATCTCCCTAAACAAACAATGATTTGGAAGGCAACTACAGACAAAAGTGCCTTCGTGAAAGCCTTGGGATCCAGATAGGAGGTTGCAAAACCCCAGTGAACCCCAAGGCCAAGGATAGCTGCTCTAAAAAGGCAGGCCCACACCCTGGTGGCAAGCTCACATGGTTCTGCCAGCAAACTGAAAGTAGCCCCAACTCCCTACAGACTCAGCTCCAGACCTGCCTGGTCACGGTCCTGTAACCATCTGACAAGGGACCCAGGAGGAATCATGCATCCGTACCCCTAGTAACAGGCCTACCATCCTTGGACCAGACTACAGATCCTGAAGCAGCCCTGTGACCTGGCTCTAGCCCTGCTCCCAGTCCTGCTCACCCAGGGATCCAGCAACACCCATCTGTGCCCCTGGCAGCAGGCCTGCCAACCTTAGTGCCAGCTGTGGGTCCTGAAGTGGCACTGAGACTTGGTTTCAGCACTGCTCCAGTGTGGTCCTAGAGGCAGTCCTGCCCACCTGGGGATCTGGCAGGAACCAACCAACCAGCAAAAATCATTTAACCATAAAGAAAATGATTGATAAATTCTACTACATTTAAACTAAGAACTTTTCAGCCCATCAGAATAAACTCAAAAATGGGAGAAGTTATCTGCAACAAATATAAGGGATTAGCATCTAGGAGGTAAGAATAATCTATGATATATAAAGAAATCCCAGACACAATTAAGAAAAACACAAATAACACAACAGGAAAATGGGCAAAATGGTATCAGGAGGCACTTCTCAAAGGAAATACAATAAGAAGACAGACATGAAAAGATGCTCAATCTCATTACTATTCAGGAAATGAAATTAAAACCACAATCAGATATCATTTCACAGACACCAAGTTGGCAAAAATTTTAAAGGCAGAGATTATCAAGTGTTGAAAAGGACAATGAGTAATGCAAGAGGTCACATACTGCTGCAAGGAGTGTAAACAGTATGCTAGTATCTACTAAAGTTGAACATGCACAAACCAATGCACCCAGCAGTCCACCCCAGGTATTTACCCTAGAGCAGGGGTTCTCAGCCTCGACACTCGCATGAGGAGTCGGACAATTCTCTGGTGCGTGGGAGAACAGGAGGAGATGGGAAGGCTGTCCTGTGCACTGTAGTGTGTTTAGCAGTGTGACTGGCCTCTACCCACTAGAGACAAGGAGCACACCACCTCCCAGTTATAACAGCCAAAAGTGTTTCCCTTTCTTCCCTTACCCCTATCTCACCTCACCTCCCTCATCCCTGTTTGAGAACTACTACATCTGTGCACCAGGAGACCAGGACAAGAATGTCCACTGCAGCACTGTTTATTTAGAGCAGCAAAAACTAGAGACAGCTCAAACGGACATCAACAGAATGGACGCAGTGCAATACCACAGAAAAAGTGAGTGAAGAACTTTAGCCACACACACAACTGAACGGATCTCAAATAAAAGACAATAAGCCAAAAAAAAAAAAGAAAACTTGCTACATGGTTTCATTTTATAAGGATCAAAAAGTTAAACGAAACTAAAATATTATCTGGAGACACATACACATTGTGAAACTATAAAGAAAAGCAAGGAAATGATTAAGAAGAACTTCAGAATAGTAGTTACCTCTGAAGAGAAAAGATGCAATTGGGGCAGACATACAGGGGATTTCTGACAAGGTTCTATTTCTTAAACTGAGTGGAGTGTTCAAAGTTCTTTCATGACTCTTTAAACTGTTCCTATGCATCTTATATGTTTTTGAATGCATATTTTGCACAGTTATACATGCACTCACAAAGGCACAGGGACATTCCCACACACCTGAGCAAATATGATCAAACTGACCTATTCAGTGTCCTTTGAGAAGACCACTGTCTGCAGTGACACGGAAGTGGCAGGCAGAAGGCATTCATCTGTGGTGCTCCAGAGCACATATATCTTTTGCAGTTAGAGGAAGAAAATTAGAACACAGTCATCTCCGCACTCAACAGTCTGTGTCTCTCATGAAGAATCTCCTTATAGAATCCTCATAAAATCATTTACCTAAATTTTCTCAAAGCCCAGCTAGTCTGCATCCCAGCTTGTCAACCCAGTGCCTCTGATCACCCATGTCCTCCTCTGGTCCACTTGACAGTGCACTTAACTTCCTCTACAGCTTGTGAGAAGAGCTCACTGCCCAGCCAGACCACAAGCTCCAGGCACCAAGGAAGTGAGTCCCCACAGGCATTCAATGAATCTATGTATGTAACCACAACCTCTACAGGGCTCCTGCCTCCCTTCTCTTCTGACCTTCCTTGGCACTCACACAGGCTGCTTGCAGATGCCAGGCGTCTGAGGTATGGGAGAAAGACTTTGGTCCTGCAACTCCCCAACCTCCCATTCGCACGTATGCAGTCTGGTAAGAATGTGAACTATGGAGCCAACAGGGGTGAGCTGTGTGACTGTGGGCAAATCACTTACTTTCTCTATGCCCTCATCTCCTCACCCACAAAATGGGATCTGCATGGTACCAACCCTTGTAGGGTGTTATGAGGATGAGAGTCAATGCCTGTGAAGCACACACAACAGGCCTGGCTCTACAAGTGGTAGCTATTTTTTCAGATCCACAACCCTTCACCTACAATTCTCAAAAGTCAAAAATGTTGTGAAAACTGAACATTATTTCAAAATTTGGGCAACAAACTGCCTGGCAGCAAAACCTGAAAATATCTGAGGCTCTTTATAATACCTATTTCTATTACTTACTATAGATATTGATAGATATTGCTACAGAAATCCTATGTTTGATTAAGGAGTGCTTCAGTGTGACTGATAAAATTCAAACATTCTGACTTTTCCCCATGTCTGGTTGGGTTTGGGTCAGAGAGTATGACCTGTGTTACCATTTCACAGTCACACCACTCTCAGCAGCTCATCTCATCACCTTTTCCTCTGCTGTACCCTAGGCTGACCCTTATCCACTCACCAACATTCAGTGACAGCCCCCAACCAGTCATTCCCACACCAGCCCATCCTCATAGCCTAGGAAGAACTTCCCGAGGTCACAATCCCACGAGCCCTGGAAATAGGTCAAGGCCCCTAACAGCTGGGTCCCCAGCCTTCTCCCACCTAGGCTCAGGCCAACTCACGTCCTGCAACCTCCTTCTCCAAGTTGAGGTTTCCTCTACCACAGATTTCACCTCAATTACAACACATGACTCCACCACATGCCCTCTGATGGCAGGGCGGGTGCAGAATTTATTCATCTCTGTATCCCCAGAAGCCAACACAGCTCCTGGCATGCAACAGGCACCCAATAAATACTTGCCGAACTGAACAACTTGTGCTGCTAAGAAAATGGCCATACTGCAGGGCATCCTCCTCATCCTGTAGCAGGCCTTCATCTTCATCTTCACTTTCTGGCTTTAAGACAGCTATTTAAAAAAGTACTAGGAACTCTTAATATTTGATTGCCCCTAACCAAAATGCATCCCCAAAGATTCTCTGAAACTCTGCATAGGAAAGGTCTATCAGTGGAGACCCAATTGACACAGTGGACTAGATGTGGGTGACTTGGAGCTGTGTTTTGCACATATTGGGATGGAAATGCTTTTTTTTTTTTTTTGCAGTACGTGGGCCTCTCACTGTTGTGGCCTCTCCTGTTGTGGAGCACAGGCTCCGGACGCGAAGGCTCAGTGGCCGTGGCTCACGGGCCCAGCCGCTCGGCGGTATGTGGGATCTTCCCAGACCGGGGCACGAACCCGTGTCCCCTGCATCGGCAGGCGGACTCTCAACCACTGCGCCACCAGGGAAGCCCCTGGAAATGCTTTTGAGATAGCCCAGAAAGGTAGCGATAGACCACAATCCCTGTGGGTCTGAGACAGAGAAATGGCCTGGGCTGAAGTGATAAACAAGTGAGTTTTCTGAGGATTTATGGAATGCTCAAAGCCACAAGAATCCTTGAAGCCACAAGAGATCATGCAAGGGAGGAAGCCCACACTGAAATAGAAGCTGGCCAAGGAGGGCATCTGCAGAGATCTGAGGGAGGAGGTTGACTTGAGAGGTAGAAGGAGAACTAGGAGAGGCTGAGCAGCCAAGGGCCAGATGGGTCAAGGGACAGAGGGTGACCACCTATGCCAAAGCTGCCGGAAGGCTCAGCTGGACGTTCTCAACTGGCCCTGGCATCCAAGAAGAAAAGCCTCTTCGATTTGAGATCTGGTGGTCCCAAGGGCCACTCTGAAGGATCTTGGAGGTAAGGGGGCTTCTGCTGTTTAAAATATAAATTTTTCCAATGAGACACGACAACTAAATGCATCTAAATCCCGACTTGGATCCTATACCACAAAAAGGAAATGGACAAGAAGAGCAAAAAAAATCTGAATAAGGCCTGTAGATGTTAGGTGTCCTGGTTTTGCTAATTGTTCTGTTAAATAAGATGTTAACATTTGGGGAACCTAGGTGATTAGAATGTGGGAATTCCTTGTACTAGTTTTAAAACTTTTTTCAAATTCTTATGTCACTTCAAAGAAAATTGTTTTTAACAAGACATTTTATAAACGTAAATGCCTCAAAGCTAAGCCAGGTGTACCACAGCTCAGGAATGGCCTTTGTGAGACGGAGTCCTCCTCCTTCTTCTCCTACCCATCTCAATACCAAACAAAAAGGGGGGAAAAGGGGAAAACAAAGACCCTATGCAACGTCGGCGATCCCAGAAGCAGGCAGAAACTATGACTGCCAGAAACGCCCTGCACCCAGCGCGCCCCGCGCGGAGTAGCCCCTCCCCCTAAGGGGCGTGGCGTGGGAGCCGCACCCCGCCCACAGATGTCCGCCCACGCCGCCCCAATCTGCCCAGCGTCAGCCTGACCCAGCCCCAGCTCCGCCCACAGTCCGTCCGGCCTCCAGCCCGGGCCCGCCCCCGATTCCTACCAAGGGTCCCAGCCACTCCTCCCTTAGTACATCCTGCGTTTAGCAGGCCCTGGTCCCGCCCACAGCGCGGCCTCGCCCAAAGTCTCCCGCCCCCAAGTCCGCTCCGCCCCAGCTGAGTCCTCCCCGGTCCCAGCCCAGCCTCCCCGTCCCGCAGCGAGAGCGCCCCCGTGCGGCCCTCTGAACTCCGCGCCCGGAGGTCCATTGTCCCTGTCCCGGTCCCGCCTACCCGTAGTCCGCCCGCGGCAGCGAGGGCCAACGCCTCGGACACCGTTGAGAAAACGCAACGCCAGGGCGCGCCGCTCCCACATCCAAGACGGGCCCAGTCGGCGGTGCAAGCGGGACGACGCCTACCTGCGCCGAACGGACCGGAACCTCGTGGGTTCGCGCCAGATACCACCGGCAGCGCAGAGCCCAAAGCGCCGCTGCCCCGCCGGCGTCGGGCGTCGCGGCCGCGCAACGTCCGGCACTAGAGCGCTCGGTTCGCCTCCGCCCGCCTTCTGCTCTCCGCCCAGGACACGCCCCTGCCCAGGACACGCCCCCGATTCGAGCGACCATCGAGACATTGGGGCCTCCGCGGCGCCTAGAGGGGACGCAGAAGTGCCTCTGAGGCAGGGCCCAAGACGGTAGAAATATCTTCTGCCCCTATTGCAGCCCCTTCTCGTCCTGTCTCCTTACGTGCTAGCCTAGGCACTTTACTCGCTATTACTCAGGAGGGCACGAAGTCTTTTTTTCTTTCTAGGTCGGTGGTTCTCCAATGTAGTTCCAGACCAATGGCAGCTTCACTTGGGAACTTGATAGAAATGCAAATCCTGGGGCCCCACCCCAGACCTATCGAATCGGAAACTCCGAGGCCAGGCCCAACAATCTGCGTTACTGGACCAACCTCACACCCTGGACTTTTGGTCTGGATAATTCTTTGTTGTGGGGCCCTGTCCCACGTACTGCAGGTAGGATCACCTGATAAAATATAGGGCGCCAAGTTAAATTTGAATTTCAGATAAAAATGTATACTCTAAAATTAATCTTGGAGTTATGTATTTCATCTGGCGACCCTACCGACAGGTATTTTTATTTGCTAAATCTGGCAGCCGTGATTTTAGGATTTTGAGCATCCCTCGCCTCTACCCACTAGGTGCCAGTAGCACACCACACCCCTGCTCCACCAGTTACAACTAAAATTGTCTGTAGACAAGGTACCTTGCGCGCCGCGCGGCGGGGGGCGGGGGGGGGGCGGAGAAATCGGGGAGGGGGAATCCCCCTTCCAGTCTGGACCACTCCCATCGCCTCCCCATACACACACTTTGAGGCTCTGCTCCATAAAGTATATAGGAAGTGACTTTACAGAAAAGGGTGCCTTGGCCTCCAAGGGTTTTTCTAAACACAAAAATCCTTGGGACCAAACTGTGCTAAACATTCAAGAAGAGGGCCAAGTAGTGAAGGTTTTGTATTTTCTTCTCCACCCTGGCACTTCTCATAAGGGTTTTGGTCACTGTAAAGTGTAAACCACCTGGGTCAGAAAAATAAGTTACCATGCCCATTTGTGAGATTCCGGAGCCAAGGGCACACTCAAGTTTGTCATTGTTTTTTCCACAAATACGTATTGTTGCCAGGCAGACCAGATACAGCGGAGAACAAAAAGTTCTTGTTCTCATGGGACTCACTTTTTAATAGAGGAGGCACTCAAGAAACAAATAGTATCAAAAGTGATAGGTGCTGTGAAGAAAAATGAAGCAAGTTAAGGGGGTAGAAGATGAGCTCTGGGAGGGTGGGGTGCTATTTTAGGTAACATAAATGCAGTGTTTCCTACCTTCCTTTGTTTCCCAGAACCTACATCCCATTCATTCATTCATTCAACAGGCATCTACTGAATGCCCACTCTGTGACAGTCACTGCTTACATTCCAGTGAGAGAAACAGACAATAAACAAACAAGTGAAATATATGGTATGCAAAGTGGAAAGTTCTATGGAGAAAAAAAATCAGGGAAGGGGAATGTTTAAATAGTGTGGTCATGGAAGGTCTCCCTGAAAAAATTATATTTGAGGGAAAAGCCAAAAGATATGAAGAATAAGCCATGCAGAATTCAAGGAGGAAAATACTTGAAACAGGGAGAACGGCATGTTCAAAGGCCCTGAGGTGGGAGCAAGCCCAGCACTCTGGAGGAACAGCATGGCTGGAGATGAGTGAACAAGGAGAGTCAAAACAATGAAGTTGGAGAAGTGATAAATCATGTGCCAGGTATGTGGCCAGCCTTTGTGTGTGCTTGGGACTCTAGCAGAGGAGGAATGCAGTCTGATGAAGCCTTTATAAGTGCCCTCTGAGGTGAATCAAAGAGCCAGACAGGAGGCTATTATATTGGTTCAGACCAGATATGATGGTGACTTGGACCAAGGTGCAAATAATGGAGGCAGAAGTAGTAGGATCCTGGATATATTTTGAAGGTAGAGACACAATAGGGCTTTTGCTCATAGATTGGATGTAGAACATGAGAGAAAGGAGGCAGGGAAGACTCAAGGGTTTTGGCCTTCACAAGTAGAAGAATAGCGTTGCCGTTGACTGACAAGTGAAAGATGGAAAGAGGAGAAGGTTTGGAGGGAGGTAAGGGGTTTGGTGTTACATGCACACTGGAATCCTCATTCTTTTGGGACCTTGTTTAGCAAATTAGTGGAGGTTACTGACTGGCTTGTCTTTTCTAGATGAAGAAATACCTATCCAGCTCATACCCACTTTTGTCTTAATTAATGCTTAGGATCCTGACCTAAGCCATTTTCTCCTTGGTGACTTGGACCAAGGAGAAAATGCGCAGTAAAACTCTGAGACTTTGCTCGGATGACTGGATTGTTCCACTCAGAATTTAGGTTCCTCACTGCCATATGAATAATGGAAATATTCACAACCCCTAGCTGATTCATAGAGTTTAAGCTGGGGAGGGATTACACTGAGCCTTCCCCCTCCATTCTAGCTCCCCAGTTCCTTCCTCCTCAGATAATAGAAAGGGTGTATGAAAGGACTTCCCTATTCATACAGCAATACGTGTGCTGAAGACTGTGGCTCTTCATTCATGAATGACCTCAAATAGAGGATGGAGGAATCTGAGAATAAGAAGCAAACACTCTTCCAGAATAAACAGCATACAAACCACCAAAAATATCAGGTCCCTATTTTGGGCTATTAGGATCATAGAGATTTGGGGAAGGGGGAATCTAAGATATGGGGAGAAATAAGTACAGAACAAAAACGGTGAAAAAGATAGTCATGAAAAGATGGACTGAAGGTGGAGAAGAGAGGGAAGAGGAGAATTATGGAGTAGTGGGTGACAGTGTCCTCCAGGTGAGCCCATCTAGTGGCTCAGGTGCTCTCTCCTTGACTGGTGTTACCTTAAAACAATAAAACGGCCAAATATTTTACCTGCAAAATGGGTTATTTGGGAGCAGCAAAGAACTGCAATTTGGGACATGCAAGCATGGCGAACCACCTGCAAGTCTCATAAAGCAAAGGAGAAGAAACTGTTTTATAGAGGTGAAGGGAAAGTTGGGAGGGGCTGTTACAAACAAGAAGTCCACTGAAGTATGATGGCTTTTCATTGTCTGAGTTGTGACAGCTTCACATTGGATGTGCTGTTGCCAAGCAAGGAGAAAAATCTTTCTTCCTCATGCTGGCAGTGGTAAAGTAGGGTCATTTCCAGCCAGAGATGCAAAGTATGGGTCTCTTCCTACTAAGATTCGTATTGACTCAGTGGTACATGTGTGGCGCTCCCCCTTGTGGCCTCTCAACTCTAATACAGTAAAGTTCCCTTTTATTAATTTTCACACTGGACTGTCTTCTTGGAGTATATTGAAGGAATTTTTTTTTTTTTTAATAAAGAAACCGTTTCTTTACTTGTGGTATTGGAGGTTTTAATCAGCCTTGTAGTGAGTTGAATGGTGCCCCCTCAAAAGATATGTCCACCCAGAACCTCAGAATATAACCTTGTTTGGAATAACAGTCTTTGCAGATGTAATAAAGGTAAAGTGAAATCATCATGGATTAAGGTGGGCCTTAAATCCAATGATGAATGTCCTTGGTATTTTTTGGCTTGTGGCTGCATCAGTCCAATCTATGTCTCTTCTTCACATGCGTCTTTTTGGTTTTTTTGCCACGCACACAGCATGCGAGATGTTAGTTCCCCAACCAGGGATTGAACCTGCGTGCCCCCTGCAGTGCAAGCACGGAGTCTTAATCACTGGACCCCCCCCAGGGAAATCCCTTCACATGTGTTTTTGTGTGTCTTCTGCTTTTCTGTCTCCTATAAGGACATCCATCATCCCACCTCTGTGTTTTAAGCTGTTGCTCATAGTATTATGGCAAAAAGAAAACAAAACGTGTTCTATGAGTCATTTAGGTTTAGGGCTCAGCATAATGGTGTCTTAGTTTTCATGTATTTAAAAATGTTAAAGTCACTTTTGTAGCTTATTTTTATTTCGGCTGGAGCTTTTTTATGGCTTTGGTTAAAATTTAACTTTATTTCTTGTTTCTCTTAAACACACTTTATGCCAAATTTTGTTGAGTTCATCATATGCCCACAGTGACTAGCATGAAATGTACCAACTCTTATATATGCTGCTGAGTATAACTCAAACTTTCATTTATTGCTTAATTCTTATTATGGCTGTGACCCATGAAAGTGAATTGAGCAAGGAGTAATGAGATACATAAACAGTGTGCCCCATGCCTGCTCCTTTCAGCTCTTCATAATCTAGAGAGCATTCTCCCTGCAACGTGGATGCTGGCACATGTAATTTTACCAAAAATTAATTAAAAATCAAGACCAAGTCTACATGTTTACGGAAGTTTGAAGACCCCATGTAGACATTTTCAGTGCCTTGCTTGGAAATAAGCTACATTAATAATTTTTTTAAGTTGGATTTTTTTTAAAAAAATTCAAATTTGGAGTGAGAAGGAGGAAAAAAACCCTACATAATAGGAATTGGAAAATATCAGCCCATTAAAGCAGAATTCTTTCTAAAAATGCAAATTTTGAAATTGTCTTTAATTGAGAAATAGGCTAAGTTTTAAAGAAAAATTTTTGGAAAACGTATTAAAGTTAACTTCAGATTTTTGGCTCTGAAGAAAGAACCAGATGCCAAATATTGTGTCAAGCTACAATCTTCTGCTATTAAAGGGCCCAGGGCAATAAAAGTGGCATTAACCGCGAGGTTGCTGG